ATGTGACCCAGATTTCTAGCCAGAAATTTCACTTTGCATATTTGCATTTAAAAGTAAAGGGTCTCAAAAACGTCCACAAAAAGGAAACTTTGTTCTTTTGGTGTCTTGAGAAAACATGACTTAATCCATAGTCGGTTCTATCACGAAGCCCTTCCAGGGATAGGATCACTGTTTCCATCTGGACCTGAAGGAAGTGGGAAGCCAGGGCGTTTTGCCCACGAAGGGTTCATACACATAAAGAAAAGGCCGCGGTCTCTCTGCTCTCCTGAAAAGTGCAATACTTCTCACGTGATACATCAAATAAGGTGGCAGAATAAATTATGAATGACAATTCCCGTAGGACTAGGCCACAGCTTTGCCTGGCTGAATGCAGTAATAGAGTAAAAGTTTATGGACAGTGGAAATATAAGAAAATAAGGAAAGTAAGACTCCAAAATAACATCAAAGTCCTGGTGGAGGGAAGCAAACAGAAGGTGTGAGCTGAGGAGGAAAGAAAGAGATGCTGTGTTTTCCAGAAGAAGCACTTCTGGGCTTTTGCTCTTTTAGCTGGAGATAATCAGGACCTGATGTATTTTGTGAATCAGCCCATCAGCATCTGTTCCTGCCTCTAGCCTTCATCCCAGGCCCTTCCTCACAGGCGTAGCACTGAGCCAATTTTTTATCTTCAGGCTGAAATTTCCTATGTTTGTTCTCCACTTGAAAGGAAATTCTTTGGGGAGGTTTGAGTAAAAATTGTTCAGCCAAATCCACATCTGCCATCCATAAAAGTCGGCTGGATCCTTACCCACCGTAAACCTCTTTACACCACTCACACAGTAGTGAGGAGCCTGGAGAGGGGATTTCAGTGTAATTCTGCATCAGATCCAGCAGGCACAACTCTCTTTGGGCCTCTCTGGTATTCAAAGGGTAGAACTGTGAAGCCTGGCAAAGAGGAAAAACTCCTTGATCACAGAAATACTTTGCAATGATCTAGTGGAAATTTACTTTGATTTAGCTCTCTTTATACAGTTCAGGAACCACTGGGGTTTTTTTACTCTACAGTAAGTGTTTTAACCGTCTCCCATCCCTCCAGTGCCTGCTGCATAGGGCCAGCTGATCTTGGCTTTCCAGACTCGTGGGTCTATGTACCTAAGAGGACATGTGGGCAGGCCGTCCCCACGTGCCGCTACCCACACAGCTCACGTCCTTCCCATCACCCGCTCACAGTGGTGTGTTGTTTTTTTCAGGATCCTAAGCCACAACCCCCTGTCCGTTATTGCTGACACATTGTTCTTTGAGCTGCCTTCAGTCAAATATCTGTAAGTATTGACTCATTTTTATCAGATTAATATAGATCTTTGTCTCTCTCGAGTGCCCTGTTGTCAGGAAAGCAGAGATCCAGTAGCAAATCTCACTCTTCTCCCAGCTTTATTCTGCTAGAGGCACAAATAACCCCGGCACCAGCAGAGCAAGGCAAAGCCCAAGCAGTTCTGGTGTGTCCCCAGCTGCAAAGCAACCAAGGAGTTGGGACACAAAGACGTCAAGGTCTGGGGCTGTGGAGTGGCCCGAAGGGTCTGGGAATGTTCCCCACTCCTGCTTGAGCGCTGAGAAAGTGGGATCCTGGTCTTTGGGGCGCTCATGCCAGCAGTCCTGGGCTCCCGCGCACCCCGCATCCCCACCCGCTGCCTTGACACAGCTCCGGACAGATGATGCCCTGTGAATCGTTGATCACGATTCACAGCATCTATGGCTCCTGCTCACATCTGTGTGACTCCTCAGGGAGGAAGACGTCCAGGCTTTTTGCAGAAGTCCTTCCTGCTCACAGCCCCGCTATCCCACAGATACCCTTTGCTTTCTGCTCAGCACATTGTCTCTTTTCACTGGTATAATCTCTCTTTCCAAGGTCACAGTGGATTCATCCTCTTGGGCAAGAACTGTGTCCCTTCAAGGACTGGAGCTGCACTCATGGGAGAGCAGGAGGAGGGTTTTGAGCCGGGGAATTCTTTCTGTTTGCATTCGTCTCCCACGAGATCTGCAGGATCCCCTCCTGATTCAGCCCCCATGGTTAGGAACAGGTCAAAGCAGAAAGACAATAGGGTTTTGAATCATTTCTGTTTGATTAGGCCAAAGTGGATCCCTCTGCAAACACCACCACAACCATCAGGGACCTGGTCTTGTTCTCAGAGCAGAGTTCTGGTAATGCCACTTGAAAATTTAATGTGGTTTTTCAAATCCTTTCAGAGACCTGGGTGCAACACAAGTGACACGGCAGACATTGCTCACGCTCCTCCTGACAGCAGTCCGCTTGGAGACGCTGTGAGTATGCAGGGACTCGGTCCCAGCCGCCAGCAGATCCTAACTGCTGAAACAAGGGGTCTGCTTGGGAAACAGACCAGCTCGCCACTAAATCAGAATAATCCGAGTAAGCCTAAGGTTTGCTATTTACTTTTGAGAACCCCCCAAACTCACCTGCTAAGAAACAGAATTTCACCTTTTAGATGACATTTTCCAGGTTTTTCAAAGGGAAGTTTTAAATCAAGGTGGGGTGTGTTTCTGTTTCAAACTGCATTTTGGGATTGGTTCCATTTTCAAAGGTGAAATCAACATTTTGATGCCACCGGAGAAGCCCATCTTCTATTTGAAACCTCTCTCAGAAATTTGGAGAACATATTTGTCCATCGGAACTGGGGGGTGGGAAGTTTTCCAGAGCTGTAGAAGAAATCCAAGCAAAACCGTGATGCGTTATCTGTGCGTTACCTGAGTTGGACTTGGAGACATGGCTTGAGATGCTGGGTTTTTCTCCAGTAACCTCTTATCTTTAGCCAACTGCCCAGTGATACGGCCTGCTGCCTCTGCCAGGAGAAACACACCACCGAAACCCCGTGCAGGACCATCAAGTTCCACTGCGAGAACCTGTGCACCACCAGCGCTCCCCAGTGCGGTAGGCTTCCCGATGATGTCGATGTAGACATCAAATCTGCCCGGTTTCCTCTAGCTTTAGGAGATGCTGTAGCACGGCCCCATTTTGTGTGGGTTCCCAGGCAGCATTGGCCACCTCGATGGCATCAGTCCAGCCTGGTGGCTCCTGGCCAGTCCCAGGGACACTAAATCTGGGCAGACTCTCTAGAGGAGCTTCATCCATGCGAGGCCTTTAAATCAGCCCAAAGGCCAGCGCAGGCAGCTCAGGTGAGACCTGGGAGGCCTCGGACTTGTGCTCCCTGAGCCACAGGCACAAAAAGTTCCCCTTTGAGCACGTGACTTGGAAAAAACAAGGGTTGAAAAGTTACTAGCGATTATACATATCTTCTGTGTCAAACACTATCTTGAGAAAAAATAGCTTGCTGGGCTAAACAAACACATGAGCTTCCAATCCACACAGCACATCTAGCCAAGGAAATCATGTGTGCCCAGTACCGTTCCCAAGCACTGGAAAGCACCGTCTGCTCGTAAGCCCCCCCAAATTCCTCCTGACAACCTCCTGAGCCTTTCCAGTGCCACCATACTTTGGCTTGTCACAGCTCAGTGGCAAGAGGGGTCCCAGACACAGCACAGATGTGGCCAAAGGGTCCGGCAATGTTTGCATTGCTCTGGCAAGGTGGCACGTGCTGAGCTGCACCTCAAAGCTGCCACCCACACTGGAAACCCCAAGACCCATAACCAAGCATGGACGCCCCTAGGCAGGCTCTGCAGAAACCTCCTGTAATGCACGATATCGCTCCAAAAATTGCCTGAGTGACCTTGGAAAATTGCCTGGTCTCTCTGCCACCCTGTTCCCCATGTGTAGGAGAAAGGACAGTAACCCTGATGTCCTTTGCAGGGCATTAGGTGAACATCAAGCATCGTTATCCTTGTTAGCCTGTGCAGCGTGAGCAATTTAGGGCTAGATACTCAAAGTTATTTCTGTGTCCAATTTCCTATCATTTTAACAGGAAAAAAAGGCCTAAATACCTTTGTAATCTGTAAATATTCTTGACCATGTCACCCTGCCTCTGGCATTAAGCTATCTGCAAAGCAGGATTAGAGATAAGGTTGTGTTTGCAGCCTTGGTGTAGGACTCTTGAAGACTTATCCTAGCTCTGCAGACTCAGCATGTGCCCTTTGGATGCCAGGGCAGGAGCTCTCCTGGGCTGTTTGCATCGCTCTGGGTCAAATCCCCCCATCTTCCACTTCTTCTAGGCCTGGGTGATGGGAGCTGCACCCGTCAGCGGAGAAACAGCTCTCCGTTATCGGGGGCTCGCTCTGGCTGCAGGTTGTTGCAGACAACAACCCAGAGGCGTTTTAATGTGAAATATCCCAGGTTTTCCTGACTGCGGGGAGAAGGGCTAGTTAGGATAGCTGATCAGGGACAAGCACCATGTCCTTGGGTATTCTGCTTTCCAGGCTCACTCCGAGTTTAAAAGCTTTATGGTGACTTTAGCAACTCAACACTTGCTCGTATCGAGCTGTGGGAAACTGTCTGACAGCAAACCCATTCCCCCAGGGATGTTTCCCACCGATCCAAACAGAGCCCTGGGAGACACCAGAAAAGAAAAATCTATCTGTTCTGCCCCGATGAGATAATCTGATTGATTTAACAAGACTCTTCCCGTCTGTAACACATCCACCATTCAGTTCACACGCTCCCTTGTCTAAAGACGAGCGCCTGCTGCTCGGGGTAAACCTTTGACCCTGTATTTTGGCAGAAAGCTTCTCGTGATGCCGAGTCCACTGATCTGCTCTCTTGGTGTTTTACAGCTCACACAGACACTCTGGCAGAGACACAAGGAGAAATAATGGAAGCAGTACAATCCAGAAAACTGAACGCCAGCACGGTGTTGAGCCTCAAGCCCAAGGAGCCTTCGCTCAGAGACCATGAAACCGTAACGCTTGCAGTTGTCCTGAGCCTGACTGGCACTGATGGTGCTCTCAGTAACCCGAATGATCACATTTCCAGAACAAATTCATATTCCCCTCAGCACCTATCCAGGCAGGAAGGCAAAACCAGTAAGGAGCTGATGCTGATGCTGCACAGCATTAAGCACATGGGCTGGACCAGTGAAACTGATATAAGGAAACTCTATTTTCTAGCAAAGGCGCTAGTGGCCGAGCTCAAGAATAAGCTGCACAAGGCTAAAAGCGTCATGACTGTGAAAAACACTGTCTCACCCCTGCCAAGGCCTGCCACGCAGAAGGACGAGGTACACGAGATCCCAGCAGTGGAGGGAGAGACAACCATGGGCTGGGTGCAAAAGCAGCGTGACTTAGGTTTGAACCAGGCAGCATTAAACCCCTGGGAAGCAGCTGGAAGGTTAAACCCCACTGACAACGCCTCCGTCTTCAGACTTCACAAAATATCCACACCTCCTGCAAAACATTCCCTTTCACACTCCCCAGCAGAGGCCCCTCATTTGTCTGGGTCTTTTAAGATCCAAAATTATCCCGATGCTGTGGAACAGGCCAAGAAAACTCATGGGATGGAGGATGCGGAGGATGCAGAAGATGCAGAGGAAGCGCCGTCTCCAAGGCAGGACTATGGTTGGACTTACAAAAAGCACAAGCAGGGGGACAGCCCATATCTGAATAAAAGTAATCAGCTTTTCTACAAGACATTTGGCAATGTGAATCCAGAGGAAGAGCCCACACCAATAGAAAGTAAAGCAGAGCAGAGACTAAAGACAAAACAGCATTTTTTCTATAACCTGTTGGTTAACAACAGCCCCCCCGCTGCAAGCAGCATGCTAGAGGACACGGCTGAAGAAGAGGGTTCCTCTCTAGGTGGCCATTTACCAGCCGTCCCTCAAACCGCAGAAACACACTGGAAGCAACAACAGGAAGGATCCAGTTTCCCCAATAAACCAGGTAGCTCCGACAGCCCAGACGGCGCGCCGGTTCAAGGAGACCTCTTTGAAACCAAGGTCAATCGTCACCTACGCTTGCTCGTCCCAGACGAAGCCCTGCGGACATTCATCGCCCACGTGGCGCGAGCCCTGAGGGTGGACTGCAGCCTGCCTGAACTCCAGGTGGCTTGTGCAAAGATGGTCTCGAAGACGGGGCTGCTCATAAAGCTGCTCAGCGAGAGGCAAGATGACCAAGGAGCCTCTGCTCTCGCGGGACAGTGTCTCCAAGAAGGGAACGTTTCTGATGCCCCGGCCAGGGAGGCGGGCAGGAAACCCGCAGGGAAGGTAGGAGAGATGCTGGGCATTGCGGGATGTGTCCTTCTGGACAACGGGGAATGGAAGGAGCAACCCTCTCTCCCCTCCTGATTTTCTCTCCTTTTCTCCCAGTGGAAACCAGAGTACACCTCCGGCGGCAGGCTCCTGTTAGCGATATCAGTGTCTGTCATCATCATGATTAATCTCACGGTGATTTGTCTCGTCGAGGTAAGCCAATAATTTGTTTGACAGACAGCTGTCAGTCTAGCCTTGTACCTGGAGTGCACTGGGGCAGGGTGGTGCCTCCCCACACAGCTTATGAGCCCCAGGGTGCCGCTGCAGATGCCCGTGGGTAGCACAGGAGATGTTTTCCCACCCCTGGAGCTTGTCACGGCATCCATACAGCTCCGCACGGGTTCAAGCTTGCTTGGGGGGCATTGTCCTGGCATCTGTCACGACCTGTCTGCAGCTCTGCTTCGCAGCTTTCCTAACGCGGGGCTGTGGCTCCCTCTCATCACAGCCTCTCCCATCAGCCCTTCCCCGAGTTTTATCCCGCAATCCCTAGCCCTATAGAGTCACCTCCCAGACTCTTCTCCTGACCCTGTTCTGCTCTCCTGCCCGCACCGATTGCTTTCAGCCGTGCAGCAATTCCCCTGCTACCTTCCCTCTTGCCAAAATCAAGTCCTTCTGCAAGGAAGGACTGCTCCGCGTGGGTCAGGGCAGTGCCAGAGAGAGGCAAGGGAGAGGACCCAGTGTGCCCACAGAGTTTCAGCCTCTCTTTGGGGCCCTTCTCCTCGGAAAAAAAAAGCTTTTATTTCTTTAAAAGCTACATGTTTCAGACTGGGGTTAAACGGGAGGGGAGTACCCTGCAAAGCACTGCGCAGATAAGAGAGACAGACATAAACATTGCTGAGATTAGGAGAGCTCTGGGAGTTCAGGTCATTCCAGAGGCAGGGAAAAGCGGGGAGTTGGGAAGGGAGGATGGGTTCTTTCTAAACACGTGGCTGCCGGCACAGGCTTGCACGTGTATATAACGGGCTCGGTTGGCAGAAGAACCTGTTGGTCTCCTCTGTTTTGCAGAGTATGACGAGAAAATCCTGATGTTACGAGTCTCTCTCTTTCTCTCCTTCACCAGGTTTGCTCCCAAAAACCTGCAGCCGCTTCCCAACCCCAAAGCACCGGTAAATCACGCCCGAGATGGTAATTACTCCCTCCGCCGTGCCACTGCTGTGCCACGAACAGTCTTTAGTCTAATCCCCGAGCCTCCCAGCCACGTGGGTGCCGGCTGCCAAAGACTCACCAGTCACCGGCGCGGCTATGTTTAAAACACATAGCTTTTTTAAGAGACCCCAAAGCACGAGTGATCGGCACGGCTCTAAGCTCAGCCAGCCACCCAGGCAGCCCTTCTCCACGCCAGTGATGTGTTGGACCTGGGCTCCCGTGTGGTCCCACGTCCCTGCGACCACGCTGCCCAGCCACGAGGAAACACCTCTCTGCTCCGGTTCCCAGCAAAACTCTTCTCTGGTGACAGCTCTGCCCTATTTCTCCCTGCCCTGCTCCCCAGAGAGGCTGCAGAAGAGCTCGCTCCTGTCCTCTCCAGACGCCTTTCGCATCCAGGCTACACCAGGACGCGTTCCCAGCCACGTCAGCCAGCACCGACCCTTCCTTCTGGGGCTCCTCATCTTCCTTAGGGTCAGCTGAAAGGTCTCCCCGAGCAGGTAGAGGCTTCTGCCCTGGCAGGGGGCTGGCACCTGCTGCAGCCCTCCCTGGCCAAGCCTCCCTGCTTATGGACCGGGAAAGGTGAATTCTGGGGCGATGATGCACAAAAGCCTTTTTTCTCCCCCTTTAACCTGCTAAATCCAGATGTTTTGCAGCGCTGTAAGTGCCACTTGCCTAAATCCTACAGTAGCTGCTTCCCCAGCAGGGCAGGGTGCAGGCAACCTTCCTGCCAGTAACTGCCATCACCACCTGCCTCCACTTTTTATCCTTCTTTTCCTTTTTTTTTTTCAGGTTCTTTCAAAAACTGTTGGCACGGGGACGGAGCAAGAACAAGTACGATGTTAAAGAGCAGGTAAGGGCAGGGAGCACGTGCCAGGTCTGCCCCTCTGCCCGCAAACTGCACCGCCGGCTGTTTCTCACCCCCTCCGAAACCTTCCCTTCCCTGGTGCTTTCCAGGGCTCGCGTCTATCGGATCTGAGCAAAACCAAACCGCAGTGGCTTAGAGACCTGTACCAGCCCCTCGATTCCCAGCATAAAAAATCCATGGCCGAGCTGTACGATGAAGAGACCTCGGACGAGGAGGAGATTTTCAACAAGTCCCAGCTGAAGTAAGTGGGATGGCGACGATGCCCGCGCTTATTTTTCAGCTCTTGTTCTGATGTAGGAACTGCTGAGGCTTTCCTTGGCTGTTACTTCCTCGCTGTTATTTCCTTGGCTGTTTCCTTGGATGTTATTCCCTTGGCTGTTACTTCCTCGCTGTTATTTCCTTGGCTGTTTCCTTGGATGTTATTCCCTTGGCTGTTACTTCCTTGCTGTTCTTTCCTCGGCTGTTTCCTCGGACGTTATTCCCTTGGCTGTTACTTCCTTGCTGTTATTTCCTCGGCTGTTTCCTCGGATGTTATTCCCTTGGCTGTTACTTCCTTGCTGTTATTTCCTCGGCTGTTTCCTCGGACGTTATTCCTCGCTGTTATTTCCTTGGCTGTTATTCCCTCGGACGTTATTCCCTTGGCTGTTACTTCCCTGCTGTTATTTCCTCGGCTGCTTCTCCTCGGATGATTCCCTGGCTGTTATTTCAGCTGGATGCCCACAGCACCCCAGAAACGCTGCGACGGTGGGGAAATGCAACTACCCGGAGAGCCGATGCCTCTGCCCTGTAGCTCGGGTGCACCCCAAGAGCCGGAGCAATGGTCCCTCCACGGAGGCGGATGCAACGGGCGGTCACGTGCTCGGGACACCCCGCAGCTCATCCCAGCGGGATGGGAACAGGAGGGCTATAAGGGACGGGGGGCCCTCGTAGGGCTCCAGCAGCAGCGGGCCAGGCTGGGTGCAGCACCGGGTGCCAAGAGCCGCA